TCTCAGAAAGTCATAACATCGTGAAAATTGTATATAAAATACTTTATGAATAATAATGAGAAAAACATTTTCCAAGAAGAAAACGTGTGAAAATTGCTTAATAAGTAAAAAATATATTCTTTTATACAATAAGCTATGATTCTGATTAAAAATTAGATCAACAGATCCCTACTAATATTATAAATGCGAAAGTAACGCTGTCTGTCTGTCTGTTACGCTTTCACGCCTAAACCACTGAACTGCTTTTAATGAAATTTGGTACAGATATAGAGTTGACCTTGAGAAAGAAAACAAAGGATAGTTTTTATCCCAGACTTTTGAAAGGTTCTCTTGGAAACGCGATATAACCGAACTCCGTACGGGCGACGCTGCGGCCGGAAAGCTAGTTATACTATATTTCTTGGTTTACAGATTCTATAAGTCGCAATAAATGTATCAGGAAATAAAAAATAGATCTCGTAAATAAATATCAATATGAGAATGATATTTTATTCCAGTCTATGGGACGAATTTCCGAGACACATTGAAGCGATCACGAAAATTGGAGCAGTGGAAAATCGATTTAGTTGAGACGGTCGGGAATACAGACGCGATAGGAATTAAAGTCTAGCTGTCTACAGACGGGGAGGAGAAACATTCGCATGAATTTTGTTATATAAAATAACTTTATATATATTCGGGGATAGTGCAAATCCGCGTAACTAGCATAGTATAATTCCACGCATCTACATTGGAAACAGATTATTATCAGAAGAAAGTTTGAGCTGAAAGATTTTATACATATATTAACGACTTTTAATGTAATTTTTCATAATAGTAATTATTTAGAGTTTAATTTATTTTAAAAACTAGCATATATTTACAATTTATACGTATATATATATATATACTATAGTATTTACCCGCGGCTTTGTCTGCGTTAGTTTCAGAATTACAAATGCGTAGATCGCGCGAACTCTATTCCTCCTTAAAGACAAGATAAGAAGATTTTGGTTTTGTCATAATATTTTATTTTCTTTTTTAATCGGATAAAAAATATCCTATATCCCTTCTATATTCTAATCTATATCTCCACCAATTTCCATCCAAACCCGTACAGCTGTTCTCGAATTATAAATAGTGTAACTAACATTACGTTTCTTTATATATATATATATATATAACGCAATATGAATTGTAATATTTCAAGTTATCACACTAAGTCCAACATCAATATCTCCACACTGAGCTAGTGATACAGGACTAAGCCGGCTCAGCTCATGAATCAGAAACATTTCATAGCTTTTTACTTTTATTTTACGTACGTTATTTTTTTGGTGGAGACTTAAAAAGGCAGTTTGACTTAATGAGGTGATCTAGTGATTTCCTCTTCACGAATGGAAACATTAACATAATAAGCAAGGATTTTTTGTTATATTATGGACATTTCCACATTTAATATATTAATTTAGGCAAAGTAAATAATAATAATAAACCAATTTTCTATTAAATTAAATCACAAACATTTACTTTTAATATACTATTGTATGTACGTATTTTCCTAGCGTTTGTTAGCTTAAAAGCAAAGGATTTTCGTGAAAGGTAAATGAATATACGATAGACCTCCAAAAAGCCTCTTGACCCGATTGAAACAAGTCACTCTCTGGAAACAAGGTCAAACATGTATGTTCCGGGAGTATAGATGGTTTAAAAACCTCTCAAATATTAACATATATTACACATATATATATATATACAGGGTGACTGGTGAATTACTATCGATATTTGAGGACGTGATATTTGACGATCATATATGACAAAATAAAAATTAATATAACATAAATATTAATAAACTTCTAAGTAAAGTTAACCAAAAGTTGTGTATTAATTACGCATCGTGTGAACAGATTAGGTATACACTCATATCACACATACGCGTGTCGCGACGTAGTGTTGTATCCGCACGCCGCCGCACGCCTCCACACTTTTGGAACGTATCCATGATTTATTTATACGGAAATTTTGACAAAAATAAGTACCTATTTTTTTTACATAATTTGAATGAGAATCATACCGAGTATAAATATTGATAGTAATTCACCAGCACCCTGTATATATGAAAAAAACGAACAATATCTTTTTATTAAAATCAAGGCTATATATATAACTAGCTTTTTTATTGAATGATCAGCACGAACCTTTACAGCTTAGCGACAACCCTGACGTCAAATATTACGAACAAAGGAATTGAAACTTACAAGCACAATTAAGTTACATTAATATACAATATAATATATTATTGCATGAAACATATATAATATTTCAATCATAATTCTATTTGAAATGAGACTTCATGAACCGAGACTGAAAATTTGAGATCATTTTAAAAACCTTCATATAACATTTTCATTATTTGTCAAGTTGCTAACTGTTGAAGGAACTGTCTTTGTTATTCTTTAATCCCTACTAATATTATAAATGCGAAAGTAAAGCTTTCACGCCTAAACCACTGATGATTTTAATGAAATTCGGTACAGTCTTGAGAAAGAACATAGGATAGTTTTTATCCCAGACTTTTGAAAGGTTCTCTTGGAAACGCGATATAACCGAACTCCACGCGGCGAAGCTGCGGGCGGAAAGCTAGTATTAAATATTTAAAGACTGTAGTGTATCATTGTTAGTATAACGAACGTCAAAGGGAAATGAACTAACGAGTTCTGTGACGAAAAGTTACATAGTTAGTCAGTTGATAGTTGAGTTAGTTAACTTTTTCATAAAAACTATATCATAGTGACTTATATAAGCATATACTTATACATATAAGCATCACTTACAATGACTTAATTGAAGATACATTACGATAGACAACAGTAAATGAAATGATTAAGATATCTTTTGTGGTTAGGTAGAGAGAGGAGCTTGGATAGTGGAGGTGTGCGTTTAACGCGTTAGATAGGGTCCCTTAAACCTACACCTGGGTCACAAGTCCCTGTCACTGTTGAAGCTCCTCTCACTACAACGATAAAACCGGCACCCGCACGGTGAATACATTGAATGCTGAGAGGTTTTGTCTCATAGTATAAAAAATCTTCAGATCAGACGATAGTATTTATAAAGCTAAGTACAAGTTTTCATAATCACTACATACGTAGTTTGCGATTTTAAATACAAAAAACTTTCGTGAATATGTATGAAAATAATCTATTAAAACTCATTATATATATCAAATCAGATTTAGTAAGCGTAATGATCAAAGGGATACCAAAAATAAGCAACGCTAATATTAATGGGGGCTTTTTAACCCTCCATGGGACATGTCACTTATAATTAATCCCATGGAAATTACCTTTTTGCTAGATTTTAGGTTAAAATTCCAGGTTATATAACACCACATGATATAATATAATGAGCATGAACTTTAGAGATAGAATCGAAAAACTTGGGTTTGGTTAAAATTAACCTGCAGTTTAAACTTTCTGAGTTTAAGTTAGTATTTAAAATCTGTCGTTTAACTTTTAAAATAACCGATACATTTAACTTAGACAATGTAACTATTACAAATTTTAACTCAGAAAGTAATAGCGTTCCGGATAGGAACGCATTGAAAGAGAAAAACTAAATCTAACTTTGTAAAATATTTCCTTCAAAGTGCACTGTATACAGTATAAAGAGGTATCTAGATTGTCATGATGAGATACGATACTATGAGATTTGATGAGATACGATGAGATATGTTATAATGTATTATAAGAGCTATCTATCATACATATAACATTTAGGGCGGGATATATCACGTTGGAACTTTAATATTGTACAAAATAAAATTTATATACTGACGTTTGCGTATACCGCACACACACACACACACACATATATGTATATATATACAAATGAGGGTATCTGAAGAATACTGGGTCATGTGTGTGTGTTATCAACGTTAATGAGGAAACTACGACGGAGGCTGCACTGGGAAGGAAACGTGAGGGAAGGATGTACTACGGAGTAGTAAGTAGGGCACGAATATATATATATTATGAAATAGTATTAAATATAAAAAGAATACTAATAAGAAAATCTCCAAGAAGAATAAACAGTACAAATTAATATATATATAATAATTAATATAACTTTAACTTTTGACGTTCTCAAACTACGTGAACGTACGTGAAAGCCAAACTAACGTAAGAACAACACACGGAACGATAAATTAATTACAACTTCAGCTTCTGTTGTGAATTGTACTAGTAGCGTATACTTATATTAACATTTCGTAGCATCGTGCTACGAGTTTTTCGTAGCTTTGTAGCGCTACGAGAATCGCCGTAGCTCGCGTAGCATCACTACGTAACTAGTTCGAGTTATTGAATTTCCTATCTATATTATACTAGTTTTTGTCCGCGACTTCGTCCGCGTTAATTTCGGAATTAGTAATATATGAATATTTGACCAGGCGAAATCTACTTCGCTATAGAGAATGTACAAAATCAGATATTGGTATTTATTAAGTTTTTTTTTTTTTCGATCGAACCTAATTAAATATCCTATGTCCGTCTCCTGGTTCTAATCTATCTCCCCACTAATTTTCAACCATATCCGTACAGCCGTTCTTGAGTTATAAATAGTGTAACTAACACGACTTTCTTTTATATATATAAACATCTCTCTCATGATGTAATGAGGCTTTTAAAAGCTACATCCGCTGCCAAATCCGTTACTATCAATAATAAGTATAGTGGAGGTCGTTAAATATAATTTATTACACACATTAAAATAAAGGCTTTAGATCTACGGTACATTAAATACAGCCTTATAATGACGGTCACAGTCGTATAGAAAGATATTATAGTCGTAAAGAAAAATAATAATAATTATTGATCATATTGTAAACTTTGATATACCAAAATTATTATTAATTATGTTATTAAAAACCACAATTTCTTTATAATTTTACTTATAAGTTACATGTTGACGATTGCAATCAATAGCAAATCGGTCTTTTTATGGTCTTTCGGTCTACTTACGTTTTCTTCGACGGTCTTCTTGATCTTGGCGCTGGCCTCGCTGACCTTCGCACCAGCCTTATTGACGGCGGAGTACAGGAAGCTGCCCAGAGACTTGGCGCCCGCGACAGCCTTCGTAGTCACTGATGAGGTTGTATTAGGTAAGTTTTTTGAACACCATGTATAGTCGGGGATAGTGCAAATCCGCGTAACTAGCATTGGATAATTCTGTGTATATATACTAGAAGCAGATCAGAAGAAAGTTTAAGCTGAAATATTTTATATATTAACGACTTTTAAGGTAATAATTAAACACTAAATAATTACTAATTGTGAAAAAAATACCTTAAAACTCGTTAATATGTAAAATATTTCAGCTCAAACTTTTTTTTGATAATCTTCTTCCAATATAGATACGCAGAATTATACAATGATAGTTACGCGGATTTGTACTATCCCAGACTACATATAAAGGTTCTATTGAAGGTAGTATTGACGTCTCACTGCCATTCGTCAAATAAGCTATAATACAGCTTTATTCTAGTTTGTTCTACATTATAAGGCTTATTGGCATCAATGTTCCAAGTTATATTTCATCACAACACAATCTTAACACAATGCCATGCTTATATAAAGCATTTGGAATAATATCTGCCTTATTCAGTAAATTTGAAGGCTTATAAAAATTTATTCTTGATTAAGCATATCGAGACATTTATTCCAAAAAAAAAAAGGTATAGGAAATGAATTTTGTGAACAAAAAATCCATGCAAAGCATATAAAGAATGAGAGAAAAAAAATAAAATGACAATATCTACTAACACTCATCTATATCTGGCATTTCCATGGCATCTACATTGAACAACTTTCTATTCTTTGAACCTGAAAATGTGCGACAAAATAATAAAAAAACAAAAAATAAATGTGCTCATATGTTTGTGTGTAAATAAATAACACATACTAAATACTAGCTATATGATTGAACTAAAGAAATACTTATAAATATGGATAAATGCCTACTAATATTATAAATGCGAAAGTAACTCTGTCTGTCTGTCTGTTACGCTTTCATGCCTAAACCACTGAACTGATTTTAATGAAATTTGGTACATAGAGTTGACCTTGAGAAAGAACATATTATAGTTTTTATTCCAGACTTTTGAAAGGTTCTCTTGGAAACGCAATAGAACCGAACACCACACGGGCGAAGCTGCGGGCGGAAAGCTAGTGACTTTATAAATTTAAAATGGGATAATTAATATTACAGAGAACAATTGGTGAAATGGGACATTATATGAATTATGAACTATTGCTCTTATAACAAAATTTCAAACAATTATAACATAAATATACTATTACTAGCTTTCCGCCCGCAGCTTCGCCGCGTGGAGTTCGGTTATATCGCGTTTCCAAGAGAACCTTTCAAAAGTCTGGGATAAAAACTATCCTATGTTCTTTCTCAAGGTCAACTCTATCTCTGTACCGAATTTCATTAAAATCAGTTCAGTGGTTTAGGCGTGAAAGCGTAGCAGACAGACAGACAGACAGAGTTACTTTCGCATTTATAATATTAGTAGGGATTCAATCTGATTTCAACTTGATTGTACTTGTTAATAAAACCTGCATTAAAAAATATATTCATGGCTCCTATGTATAAGGACCAATGTGCAAACTGACAATTGTTCAGTAGAGGCGGTTTTAAGTTTGATTTCAATGTATCTTGTACATACAACTGATGCTTTTGAAACTTTGAATAGCAACTATGACATACATGTATGTCATTTAAGATTGATAAACTTTTTTGTAAACCTACTAGTTTTTTAAATACATTATACAAGCCTTTATATGTTAAAAAGTGTGTTACTTATGCCCTTTTACTGCAATAAAAACTAAGTCTTTCCCCTAACAAGTACACATTAAGTACACAGAAATTTCAAATAAAATATATAGAATACATCTGACACTTTGGCTCAGTTTGACAAGCGACTGAAAAGATATTCTAGATATAGCTAGTTCATATTCTATTGTATATGAATAGTGTATACTATATTACTAATTCAAATATTAGCTAAACATATAGAATTATTGCAATCTATCTATATATATTTAAATGAAACTAATATTTTTCGGATATACTAATAATTTTATTTTTGATAAAATCTACATACTCCTTATGTTTCGGCTTTCAGTAACCGTGATCACGGGCAGACAAGATTTATTAGTTTCATTGAAATGGAGGGGACTAGGAAAATCTTAGATCTCATCATCTATCTATCTATCTATCTATATCTACACCTACCATCTCTATACTCACCGTTCCCGACCCCAGCCGGTTGTTCATCAGTGGGGGTTCCGCCCCCTGAAGCGGGGCGACTGTCTGCGCCCCCTGTGGCACTATACAATACAACATACATTACAACATATATAATACATTACTGTAATGTATATACATATATATATACATATTATAGTTTCAGATAATTTTATATTCAAGATAGTCTTAAGCCAGACTCAGAGAGAATGCTACAAAAATAAGTAAAAAAATTCAGAGTGAATTAAGATATTCATAAACATAATGAAAAATTTCACTTATATAAAAAGAGTAATTCCATAATAAATTAATAAATTATGTATAGGTTACAACTTAGAATTATGTCAAACAAATTGTTAATAGTCATACTTGTGGGCACAATAATTATAATCAGATAAAGGCCAGAAAGTTGTTAAAAGAAATTTGTTTTAGAAAAAATCTAAGAATTGAAATGGTTAAAAAAATATTAATTTGATTGACATAAAAAAAGATTCCATTAATTTCAATTAAATTGGGCTTTTACCCTTCAAAGTTAATTACAAAGGATTGTATGTTTTGGCAAACGAGCAATTTGTTAAAATTATTAACAAAATTATATAGAAAAAAATATATATCCCACAAAGTAATTTGTTTACAATGTATAACATATATTGTAGATAGCATTAATTGATTTGTATTTATTATTTTATTTGTAACAAATTGTCAGTTACATTTATAAGAGATTAGACATTCATCATTTAAATTTCAATCTCAAGATCATTGTATTCACTTCTAAAATTATTATAAAGAAGAGTATTTTATTATGTAATATACAGGGTGACTGGTGAATTAATATCGATACTTGAGGACGTGATATTTGACGATCATATATGACAAAATAAAAATTAATATAACGTAAATATTAATAAACTTCTAAGTAAAGTTAACCAAAAGTTATGTAATTAATTACGCATCGTGTGAACACCCTACAGATTAGGTATACACACACACGCGTGGGGCGGCGTGGTGTTGTATCAGCACGCCGCCGCACGCGTCCACACTTGGAACACTTGGAACGTGTCCACACTTTATTTATTTATACGGAAATTTGGTCAAAAATTAAGTACCTATTTTTTTTACATAATTCGAATGAGAATCATGTACCGAGTATGCTCCTTAAATATTGATAGTAATTCACCAGTCAACCTGTATATTGAAAATCATAAACATAAATATATAATATACTGTTATGTACAAATGTGTCCTTTCTTTTAAAATATTTCAATGACCCTATATAAAAATTTCAGTCATTGGGTGTGTGATAACCGCAGACGAATTTTCAATTTTCAGTTATGTAACCATTTCACCCACGTTTTTAAGTTTAAAGCCTGAGCAAAGTCGAAATTACGACTTACATCTCACTCGTTTCTTAATTGACGAATACTCAAATTATTGAATAAATAATGAATATACCCCATGGATAATTTTTGTTAGGATTAAAATTAGATCATTTTTTAATGGTTACTTTTAAACCGTGTCGTTTATCTCAATAAAAATGTTTGTAAGACCGTGAAACTGTTCCCTTTGCTAATACAAGTCGCTCCTAAAAGCCTGTTTTAGCATTTTTTATATCTTTAAGTTTCTTTAAATCGTGATATATTACGTCATTACTAAGGTTGAAAAAAACGCGTCTATAATTTCGGCTCTTTTGTAAAATTAGTTTCTATTAAATGAAATGCAAGAATCCAATGAGTCTTTATATGTATTTAAACGAAAAAAATCTAATTATCAATATATATATTAAAAATCCATTCAGTGTTAATAATAATAGGTGCATTAATAATGCTTGCATGTGATGCATATTCCTATTAGTAAAAAGATCATATTGACCCATATTTGTTTAACCACAACACGAAAAGCATGAGACATTAAGCAAGCATCATAGAACATCCCAGAGTTAGATAGAATAATCTAGAATCTAAATTGATAAAATGAAAAATGACAAAGAAATTGGAGATTGATCAGAATGAATGAGTTCACTATCTGGTGTGATTCAAATTATACACTCCAATATATATCAAAAAAAAACTTAAAAAAGAGAAAAAAAACTGTATCCCAAATCAATATTAAACCTTTTTTTAGTACTTCTGAAATAAAATATGCAAAAACTGTGCAAAAAGCAGAGACAGTAATAAAAAAATATGACAAAAAAAGCATCTCAATTTTCTTATGGGAAGTTAAGATTTAGAAGAAAAAAAATAAATTGGTATGCAATTTCTCATCCCGAGCAAAAGAAAAACCACATTTAATTAAATCCTGGTTATGTAACAAAATGAACGGACCAGAAATAACACACCATGTATATAAGAGCAGACTCATTGCTTCTGTCAACCTCGTACCTATTGTACCTAGAGTTATCGTCATCGTCCCGAGGTTCTGTCTTAGTCTCAGTTGGCTCGGGTTCAACGGGGGCTGGCTCCGGTTCCGTTGAAGCCGCTTCATTTTTTCTCAGCCCCGGAATTGGGATCCCGGCCCCCAGCCATCCCGTCATTTGGGACTTAACGTTAGTGATCAGGTCCAATTTGCTGCCTCCCTTGGTTGGACTGCGAAAAAATAATTAAATTTGAATTTCAAATCAACCGAATCAATTAACTAGACCCTTTTACCCCTTCAATTACAATGGCAATAAAACGTATTCATAAAGTCGAAACCCTTTCCACAATGGATCCCTTAAACAAAGTTATTAGTCAGCGGTGAAGTACTAATCTAACTCGACATTCAGCCAGGAAGTACCTCTTGACCTAATTCTTAAATTTTCCAAGCTATAGTAAATCAATATCACTATTATGCAATACCTTCTAAAACGTGAATCGGGATTTTGATTAATGCCCACTCGAGTGTGAACGTTTATTGCCTTATGCTGCGCAATAGAATATAACAGTTAGACATACATACTTATTAAAAATTACAATTACATAAGAATTTTATATATCTGACTGAATATTTTAGCCCAGAATTTCGTATCCGACCTAAATTTACCCTCTTAAGATATTCGAAACAATATGTTAAAAGAAGAATGTAAACAAAAGACCTTTGTTTGTCGCCCTCCGCCGTAGCCTCCCCCGTGGCGTCTTTGGTCGGGGTTGGAACTTCTTCGTCCTGAGGCTCGCCCTTCGCCGCTCCCATCCACGAGCTGACCTGATTCTGTAGTCCTGAAAACATTTTGAAAGCCACTAGCTAGCTACGCGGTACACAAGCACTCGATTCTTACTACGCTACGACAGTATCGCACATGACACAAGAGTCTGTGAGGCGCCCGTAGAAAGCGTGATCAGCTGAAAAACTAAATGGAACACCGCAATCGACCAGAGGGTTGGAGGAAGTTTTCATTGCGCATGAAAACTTGCGCAGCCTGCGCTACTGTTTTGCGATTTACGTCTTGTACTTATATTTTATGACATTTACATGTATATATACATTCATTATAGATATATCTATTATGGAATATAGATTCAAAACTAAGACAATATTTCTATTTAATTTTTTTCTTCAATTATATTTTATTAATACTCCTATTATTTAGAAAAAATAATATTAAAAAATTGAATTTTCCACAGTTTTCGAAGAATATGGAGTTTTGAAATATAAGTATTTCATTTATGATTTATGAAACTGTTAAATATTTAGCATTTAATTGTTGAGATAAAAGTGAATCTTAATTCTCTCGAGTTCAGCGCAATAAAAAATTTAAATGTCATTCGGGTACCGAAGTAAACTGAATGACTGAATGAATATTAAATGCTCAAATGACAGCTATCGAATGAAATCAAAAACCTGTGACGTTTAAGAAAATATATTTGTATTGTAAACTTTTTGTTTCATATATAATAAACCTGTAAAACAAATTCAGAAGAACTTATATCAAATGTAAGGCGCAAAGGTCCTTTGGTGACTTTAAAATCCCAAAAATATTTTTATTTTGTAGTGACAAGAAGCCATATTATAAATATGACGGAGACGCGAAGATTACAATTACATTTAGGGAAATGTATAGAGGATTTGGACAAATTATACAATGTACCTGACTTGAAATCTAAAAGAGCAACGATGTAAGTATATCTCATTAATTTTATTAATATCGTAACAACTTTAATACCAATGAAATAAATCGTACACAGGTTATGCAAAACAGCTCAAAAACTCTTCGAGTCTGCAGAGGAGGCTCGTGAGAAGGGTGACGAAGAGTATTCCTATGTCCAGTACATGAAATACTTACGTGTCATTGCTTACATAAGCAAAGACAAAGACTACTTGAAGGACAAAACATACTTCAACAGTATGCTCGGTTCTAAAAACCCCAACAAGGCAATGGATGCTGCTGAGAAATTAAAGAATAGTTTAATAATAAGGTACAAGATGTAATATTAAAGTATTAAAAGTTTTAATTTTAATATACAGGGTGACTGGTGAATTACTATCGATACTTGAGGACGTGATATTTGACGATCATATATGACAAAATAAAAATTAATATAACATAAATATTAATAAACTTCTGAGTAAAGTTAACCAAAAGTTATGAAATTAATTACGCATCGTGTGAACACCCTACAGATTAGGTATATACACACACTCACACACACGCGGCGGGGGCGTGGTTTTGTATCAGCACGCCGCCGCACGTGTTCACACTTGGAACGTGTCAACACTTTATTTATTTATACGGAAATTTTGTCAAAAATTAAGTACCTATTTTTTTTACATAATTCGAATGAGAATCATGTACCGAGTATGCTCCTTAAATATTGATAGTAATTCACCAGTCACCCTGTATATATAAAAAACACAGCCATTTATACTTCCTACTGTAAAGTTCTTTTAAATGTCTGTTAATTTCCATGCTTACAATAAATATATCATCAATAAATGTTAAGATTCATTATATATATCTATAGTTACCTATAAAGAAACAAACTTTCACTGACAAATTTTTGTCAGATATGAGAAAGAACAGCAAGCAAATCGTCTGAACGACATTCAAGAGAACGAGCTGATCAAACAGAAGATGGAAGATAACCGTAAGAAGGCTATCGAGGCTATGGTGGTGACAGAACCTATACATCAGGGACTGCCAGGTCGGTACAGGGATTATTAGGTACAGTAGAACTCCAATTATCCGAACTCCGACTATCCGAATCGCCGATTATCCGAATCACTTACAGAAAAAAAATTGTCCAAAAAAAATCTAAGTGCGCTATTATTCTTCCCTCAACGAAGTCAGTGTAGGCACAACGGCAAGTTAAGACCGCAAAACAGCTTACATTGACGAAGATGTTTAAAAAACAATGATTTTTATTTCTAAACTTGTACATAAGTACAATTTATTTATATTTAAAACATGTGAAAATATCATGTTTCTTTCATTTAATTCAATAAAAAAATAGCGCAATATCAAAACGTAACTTTTTTTTCTCTTCAATGGCAATTAAAAACAAAACTCCAATTATCCGAATATTTGATTATCCGAATGGGTCCCGGTCCCCATTAATTCGGATAATTGGAGTTCTACTGTATTTAACATAAGAATAATGGATACTATCCCTACTAATATTATAAATGAGAAAGTAACTCTGCCTGTCTGTCTGTTACACTTTCACATCTAAACCACTGAACTGATTCTAATGAACAGGTACAGAGATAGAGTTGACCTTGAGAAAGTACATAGGATAGTTTTTATACCAGAGTTTTGAAAGGTTCTCTTGGAAACGCTATATAACTGAACTCCATGCCGGCAAAGCTGCAGGTGGAAAGCTAGTATAATATATTATTTAAATGAAACTAATAATTTTTGATTAGTATGCATACTTTATTATTTTCAAAATAACTTAAATTAATATATTATATGTACATTTTTAGAAATAAAAAGTATAATGTATAATATAGTAATCCAAAAAAATTTGTTTGGTTAAATAAGTACTTGCAAGTCTTAGATCTCATTATTATGTATTATATATGAGAGATTTGTTCAGTTAATCAGTTTTAATTGATCATGATAATATAAATAGCACATTTTTAATATGGATTATCATAATTTTGTATGTGGTATATTGACAAAGGAAATTTTAAGCTTTGTGCATAAATTTGAACTGGTTTAACCTGTTTATATATAATTATTTATCATAATCTGATTATATTAGAATTTTTATTAATAATTCATAACAAGAGAAATGACTAAAAAAGCATAATTATAAAATTTATGGTGTCTATCTGTCTTTCTTTTCTGTAAAATACCTATAATAATATTCTGAACCGAACTAGAGTAATGTTAAAGTACTGCAAATTAAATATGACTGGTTTATAAACTTTGAAGCCATTCAAGTTGTTTATAATGTAATCTATATTGACGGTTTATGTAACAAGAGACATCTAGAAATATCTTTACTATGTACATATAAAAATAAAAACTAAGATAATGTTTCTTGAATTTAAACTTCTTTAATTTCATGAATATACAAGATAGATTTCTATTTAAAAGCCTTATATCTAGTACATTGGATTAGGAATATTATTCAACATACAATTTATTTGGGTAATATTTCCAAAAATCAGTAAAATTCTGATCTAAAAATTAATATAAACTATTTCTGTACCTTGTAATAATAAGTCTAGTCAATATAGTAACATTTGGTTTTTTTTCTCAGGTCCTGATGAAGTGTCGATAAAATCTGAACAATTATATGTTCTGTTGAAGAGCAGTAAGCTTAAAGTGATGATTCTCGATGCTCGGCCGAGTCAACATTACCAGGAGTCACATATCAATCATCCGGTGTGCATCAATGTTCCTGAAGAATGTATTTCACCTGGGTAATATATTTTATTATGTATTAAACAATTTATATGTATGCTAATATTCATAATTATTAGCACTAAAGTTACATTAAAAAAATATTTGTAATGCCTTATTTGCATTCACAGAGGTTGAGGGTTCAAATACAGTTAGTATTAATGTTAAAAATAGAAATTATAGCATGAATATGATATAAAATATATATACCTCTGTATATCTTACACAAAATATTCATTTTCCTTTTCATAATTTTGTTAATTTTCTTTGTTATTAATAACTAATAAGAGTTATATGTTTGTTTTATATGTTATCAACTTCCTTCCAGTCAGTCGGCCAATATGTTGGAACAGAAGTTGCCGCAGGCTTCCAGGTGTGTGTGGGCCGAGCGAGCCTCAATGGAACTGATTGTGATGATGGACTGGAACAGCATCACAGTTATACCGGGACAGAAACTACATCTGCTCAAGACCATACTATTAAAGGTACATTATGTTTGTATAGAGAAAAATATACTCATTGATTAAGATTATATTGAAGTAAAAATAACAGCAATCAGAACCTTGAGCTGTGTTAATTTTCTTTTTCGCATGAAATTTTCAACTAACATGTATTGAATATTCTTAATAAACATCAAAAAAGTTTTTGTCCCTTTGGCTATAATTTTTTTTGTGTATGGACTTGATTTCAATACAACAACTTTAGAATAAGATTCTTTATAGATTCAATCTAATTATCTTTTTTTTATTTCTTTTTTCATTTCTGGCTGTGGGGAAGAAAAAATTCTTTGCTTTTCCCACTTCTTTACCACTTGTCTTTAGATAATATCAGAATTCTACTGAAAAAACGAATATAAAACTTTTTCAAATAACCTTCTACTTAAAGTCATTAACATTATATATATTGTTTATTCTTCCATTTGTATATATTAATTTTCATTAAATTTACGTAATCTATGTGATCTATACCAATATGATTAAAAAAGTTTACTGTTTACATCACAGTCATATCAAAATTCTGAATCATTCATTCATTCATTGTCATCCTATCATATCCTATAAGGTACACAGACTATTGACTATTGTTCTATAACCTATTTTGACCTCTTTTGATCTCTCCAGTGGGACGTGAAGGTCCACTACTCCCGTCAGCCGGTGTGGCTGGTCGGTGGCTATGAAGACTGGCTCCTCAAGTACCCGGCCTTCACAACCAACCCCCGGGCCGTCCCCCCCACCACCAACGACGTCGACGACATGCTGGGTGAGTAGTGACGTCATCAACTCTATGACGTCACTATATCTATATTACACGCTTGTAATGACGGATAGGAATGAGTATATTTATGTTACATGTAGTTTTTGCCTATAGATGGGATATATTATAAATTGGTTAACTAATGAAATCAAAGTTACTTCTATGTGTTTAACATAAAATGTATCGCCATCTATATTTAATTTTAAATTAACCGTATTTTTGGATTACTAGGCGTATATTTTATTTTAAAACTACATACTCCCGACGATTCGATTACTTTGCAGTGACCGTGATCATTTAGGTTAGATGTGAATGAAAATCATTCAGAAACGTCGGTAGTGTGTGGTTTTAAAAATCCGAAAATATTAGTTTCATTCAAATGAATATTCGCTATGGTCTTAGATTTCAGTATATCTTCCTCAACCCAAATCTTCTACAGTACTATAGTAATATCTTCCCAGCATATCTTGACCCATCATGTCGTATATTTCAGATGAGATTGAGTATCCGACCTGGTCCGACCTAAGTCCTCCTCCGCTGACTGTTAACAGATCCGCCAAGCCTTCAGAGCCTCTCGTAGACAGAAGTAGTAAGGTGAGACTGAAAAACTATTACATATGAACAAGAAATTCATATAGAGAAAGAAAATATTTTAGCTATGTGGAAACTCGATTATCCGGCCCTCAGTTACACGGATTCACGATTATCCGGACTACGGACAAGTCCGGACAAGAAAATATGTCAAAGCGTAAGAGAGTGGAGTGTACGTCAAATGACAATTACCAAATATTCTAAACCAAATTAAACTTATTATTTAATTCATGATCACCAATTGCAAATTACCAAATACATATTGTAATTTATTTCATGATTAAATCTGTTTTTAGTACACACATGTATCTGTATGTATATTTAATCTAAGAAAATATATCCTTCAACTAGTTTTTGCCCGCGACTTCGTCCGCGTTAATTTCGTCATTAGTAATATATGTGTAGCTGACGGGGCGAACTCTATCCCGTCTTAAATAACCAGGTAATGGTATTTATTAAATTTTTCCTGTTTCAATCGAACAGAATGACTGACATATTAGTAAGTTGTCAAATCTAATGTCAAAAAAACGTATGGGAAATAGAAAAGGGCTGATTTTAGAGTTTTCCCGGAAATGAATCATTTTATTTCAGCTTTTCGAACTTCCCTGAACCTCCACGAACATTTCAAGACTAAAATAAGATAAATCCGTTCAGCCGTTCTCGAGTTTTAGTGAGACTAACGAACAGCAATTCATTTTTATATATATAGATTATTTATTAATAAACACTAATTTTCGTTGATATGTATTTGTTACTTTTTTTTGGATAAACATATACAACATATTATGTACTCTAGATATGCACAAAACCGGCTTTCTTCATACATTCGATTATCCGAATGCCTATCGACAACAATAAGTCCGATTAATCGAGTTTCTACTGTATATACAGGGTGACTGGTGAATTACTATCGATACTTGAGGATGTGATATTTGACGATCATATATGACAAAATAAAAATTAGTATAACATAAATATTAATAAACTTCTAAGTAAAGTTAACCAAAAGTTATGTAATTAATTATGCATCGTGTGAACACCCTACAGATTAGGTATACACACACACACACACACACACAAACGCGTGCGGCGGCGTGGTGTTGTATCAGCACGCCGCCGCACGCGTCCACACTTGGAACACTTGGAACGTGTCCACACTTTATTTATTTATACGGAAATCTGATCAAAAATTAAGTACCTATTTTTTTTTTACATAATTCGAATGAGAATCATGTACCGAGTATTCTCCTTAAATATTGATAGTAATTCACCAGTCACCCTGTATAATAGAGAAAAGCTGTCAATATTCAACAATTTTAATATAAATTGCTATTAAAACCATGATAACTTTGTTAGCATATATTATAAGTGTTAGCATAGACAAACTATATCCATGTCTATGGATAATATCACAGTATACAGAGTATAGACAATAATTTAATGTTTTTAATGGTTTTTTTATTTTCCAGCTGGCAGCTGTCCAGCTGTACGAGGAGCGCGCGCGCGGCGTCCAGAACATTCTGGAGCAGCAGGAGAGGATCGCGGACACCTCGCTCACACTGGAGATGCAGCGCTTGGAGGCTGAACAGGTAACAACAATATATATTGTAATAGAGATAGAAGGGACAAGGAACATTGTTAAACTCTATATTATTACTTAATTTGTTAAATGATAATGCTCTATCCATTAACTTCGAATTGATAGTTAAATAAAATAAAATTTTAAAACATTTATGTAAAAGTGACATAGAGAATGGTTTTACTGATCTATAGTATATAAAGAGTGTGAGTGAATGAAACAAGTAATGCTTAACTCGTCATATATTTAAACTATGGTGTATAGCAAGATAGATAAGATTTGATATTATTCCTTATATTAATAAATGGAAATTCTGTATTATTTAAATATTTATTCTGACTATCGATTATTACAAAAGATATTGTCTACTATTCTATAATATTAAATAATGAAAGGAAAATAATGATTTATTTCTATGATTTATCGTAGGATTGGGAGAAAGTTAGATCTCAGAGGGAGGGCGAGCAGAGAGACGAGATGAGGGCCATGTACAAGCTGAGGGAACAGGAGATTATATCACAACTGATGCAGCTCGAGAACAAACAGTATGATATGGTGAGGAAACGGATATATATATACATATATACCTTACAGTAACACCTACACAAACCATCTGTACTAAAGGAATTTGAGAATTAGCACAATTTTTACCCGCGGATTTCCGGGATGTAAAGTAACCTATATGTTATTTCTGGACGCCAGCTTTCTGTATACAAAATTTCATCAAAATCGGTTCAGCCGTTTGAGCGTGAAGAAGTAACAAACATACACACACTCACAAACTTTCACAATTATAATATTAGTAGGATTAAATGACTTTACATACAATATAAAGTTTGATTGAGTAATTACAAGTAATAAAATTTCTACATTAATATTAATAATAATCTGTAACTAATGCGATGTCAGGAACAAGAGAATCTCTCTCTCCGCGAACAGCTGGAGGAGTATCAGAGGAGGGAGAGGGAGGAGGCGGAGAGACTGGAGGGGGGGGAGGACGAACAAAACGACGGAGAGGCTATAGGTACGACACACACACACTCACACACACAGACATACACATACACACACAGAGAAAGACAGACTCACACACACACACACACAGACGACTCGGGATACTATACACATAGATAGCAATATCATTGGGTGTATGGTTAAGGAATATCGAGATATATGATAGAAAATTTACATCAAAGTATTAGGTAATGTGTCAAAAGTAGTTACATTCAGTGAATTTATGTTGCAAACGTCAAAAACTTGTTATGTCTTGAGTGCCTTAAATAATACAAATATGTTGAATTCTACTTCACTAACACTACTAACGGTTAGACGTCTTTCTGCGATAAATTTGCACAGCCAAACTAAATACGAGGCGTTTATCAGTTTTTCATTGACATTCATACTATAGTGTGCCAAGATAGAAACGTCTTCACATTCAAAATTTTGTTAAGGATATTGAACACCAAATTAATCCTCAAACAGAAAAACTGATACTATAAACAAACATACATATCAACTATCTTATTAAAAGGCTGAAAACATCAATGTAGAAAGTTTTTAAATTAGTTTTGCGCTTGTAAGTAATGTATGTATGTTTATTGCAGCGGAGCGCGCTCGACAGGCCGTAAGGGATGTAGCTGCCAAAAGGGCCCGGATTGCGGCTGTTACAGCGCAAAAAGAACGATTAGACAGACGGAGAGAAGTTTTGGAGATGGAAAGAAAGAAGAAACTTGCGGAGGCGCGCGCAGCGAGGAAACCCGGCGACAAAGTATGTATACAACAAATATCGTCGAGGATAGTGCAAATCCGCGTAACTATTGGATACACGTATCTACATTGGAAGCAGATCAGAAGAAAGTTTAAGCTGAAATATTTTATATATTATCGAAATTTAAGGTCATAATTAAACACTAAGTAATTAGTAATTGTGATAAAATTACGTTAAATGTCGTTGATATAGAAAATATTTCAGCTTAAACTTTCTTCTGATCTGCTTCCAATGTAGCTACGCGGAATTATCCAATGCTAGTTACTCGGATTTGCACCATCCCCGGTGATATACGTTATATAGTGAGGTCTTGGACTTTCAAGAGTAATCATTTAAATCAGTAGTCCCCAAACTTATTTTTCTCGTGGACCACTTTCAAAATTTTACCGGTTTCGGTGGACCCCCTGCTGCTACATTTCTACCACACTCTTAAAGTCGCCAAAAAATAAAATATGTGTCACTTCTGAGTTCTGTCTCTATATTCCGATAGGTAAAATAAAACTTTAGAAATTTTGGAAACAAATGAATGAGTTTGCCTTTGGCATCAAGTATTTATAGTGGTGATCAAGTTCATGTCTGAACAAGCATTAAGCATTGTCGGGCGGATAGCGCTTTGCAAGTCTGTACACGAAATTGTACGTAATATCGAATACGCAAGTTTGGACAAGTAACAGTCGCTTGCCTTATTAAAATATTATCTGCTTAGTTAGGAACTTAAAACAATGTAGGTAAGCCCTTATAAAAACTATGCCTACATTTTTGCTCTTTACTATCAAAAGCAGATAAATTTTAGTGGACCCCCATTTTTTGTTCACGCCTACGTAGACCCCCAGCAAGTCTCCCGTGGACCCCTGGGGGTCCACCTGGGCCACCTTGGGAATCACTGATTTAAATGAAAGTAATATTATACGAATTACTATTCTTTACTTTATTTTAAAATACATACTCAAATCATGTCCGTTACTTTGCACCGACTTTGATGAACCAGTCTGCTAGTGATCCGCGTAGTAGTCTGAAAATATTAGTTTCATTTATATAAATCGTATATAGAAAAATATTGTCTATTTTCATCGTCTTATACATTAATTGCTTATTATACAATAATATATTTGTATCAATAAAGATAAGAGTTACTAATATAAAAAATATACTCATTCTTTAGCTCTGACAAAAAACTTTACTGCAATATAATGTTAACCCAAAAAATATATATAAGTTTTAATATTAGTGTTAATATTCAATGTTCATATTAAAATGTATTTGCAGGAGGAAGACGAGACTCGTCCGGATAGTCCTTCTTTGCCGCGGTCACAGTCTTCGCCGAACATAGCCAAGGTTAATAAACAATATATTACAACACACTGTTGTTGTTGTTATATAAACTAGCTTACCTGTAGTTCGCCTCACCAGACTAGAAACAGATACTTTTCATTTAATTGAAAGAAAAAATCAAATCCAAAATCTTCTTATCTACTATCTTTAAGGAGAAATAGTTTGCCTGCTCAGATATACTTTTGTAAATCTGAAACTTACATTAAGGAAATCGCTTGCTAAAACTAGTGTATATATAATCCACATAAAATAAGTAAACCTGGACTTATAATTTCAAATTATAAGTTTGAAATCGCCAACCCGTCTTGAGCAAGCGTGGTGATTGATGCTCAATTCCTCTCCATGTAAGAAGAGGCCTTTGCTTAGCAGTGGGCTCTGATAGTCTGATGATGATGTTATTACAGAAATGATGATGATTGATTAGTGATGCCTTTGCTTAGCAGTGGGCTCTGATAGTCTGATGATGATGTTATTACAGAAATGATGATGATTGATTAGTGATGATAGATCAGGAGTTGGATAAAACATATATTCAGTTAAGACAAATGTCTGTTAAACGTGGTGTTAGATTAGGGTATATAGGTACTTATAATTAATTGGAAACAACGTTGGTAAAATAAATATTTGCGTCATAATAGTTAGCTGTTTCACCTGACATTACTCGCTTAAATTGTTGATAGTAGCAAAATATTCATAGTGATCTGTAGTTTAGGATATATGGGTGCTTATAAGTATGATTTTAATACAAGTGTTGTTTCCAGGTGTCGTCTGATGAGGAGGAGGTGACTAGCCCCGTATTTGACCGCAGCACTAAGCCGGCTAAAGTGGCTCCCTCTAGCGAAATGCATCACAGAGACTTCCAACCAGTATGGGGAGATGTGGTCAGTATAATATACATAGTTATAGCATCAGGAGTGAATATTAATTAAAAAAGTACAAATCTAAATCACCTAAAGCGTTTTAAACATATCAAATGATAAGTAAATACGAAAACATAATAGCTGATGTGTACCGAGTCTGGATCACTAACCAGCGCCACCTAGCGAATGCATGGTCAGCTTTAAACGAACTCCTTATATAGATTTACTGAGTACTGTTTTAATAATAGGAAATATTTTTAATGATACTAACTTTAAACAAGCAATGCTTGTGTGTATACACACACATATATTTTTTTAAACATCAATGTAATATTAAGGTAATATTTGAATACAAATTGAAATACAAAATATAGAATAATAAATTCATAAGAAGGACCACTACTGAAACCTGGAACTTTTATTAAGTTTAAAATTGTTTCATTCAGATGATTTCTTCTTATATTATATTTGAAATTTTATGTCATCAATTTTATTAGGAAGTCTTTTGTGATGAAACCCTTGCCATTACTCATTACTTTTTAAGATAAGGTAAAACTCCTTCACAACTAATATAATCAACAGTAGTATGCAAACAATAGTATTACTGGTAGATGGACTTTATATATAATAAAATAATTAATATGTATATGTAATTATATTTTTATTTATCTTGTCTGTCAGTATATACTTGTACATCTTGTTGTGAGATTTAAAACGGTCCCATTAAAAGGACTGCTATATCAAATGGACTTATAAGTTATATTAAGAGAAAATCAATTATACCATAATGATGAGGTAGAGCTTCTCGGTTTATAATATTTTTGTACACTGAATATTATCATAAAAGATCTTATGTATATTATTATATGAATGAAATTGATTTGATTTGCATAAATATTACCTTTTAAAAGGCTTTTTTAATGTTTTGTAAGCAACTTATAACTTTGTATCGACGCTAAGGTGAATCGTATGTAGAACTCGTCGGAATGTGTCCTGAACTACTAATTAACCCCTCATTCATTCAACGGTAGTTCTGTGGTCATTCAACCCTCATTCTGCAGTCGTTTGCGCAACCGACCTTAACTTTGTTCTTATAAGGGTGCTACGCGTAACATGAAGTTTCAGACATAGGCCTATATAGAAACCTATTTTCAATACCGATCAGGTGAATACCGGGTATAGTTCTATCTCGCTCTACCTGTTCTCCCTGATTTAGATTAGCGATAGAAACAGCCTCCCTACTACGCTCACTATTGTCTCTCTCCTACGAGTTTGTGCAGACATTTCTTAAAGCAGGGTGACGCGTTACTACTTGACCTTTATTGATTGACCTGTACGTTAAGGTCAAGTGCCGCTTGCTTATCACTACTCTAATAGCTAGAAACTCTAACCCTCGCTTTCGCCTCTGAGTTAGGGCTCTTTTTAACGTGGTCCTTATTCGTAAAGAAATTGGTCTTCCCTAGCACGTCTGTCTAAGCCGGTGTCAGTATACTGCGGTGAGGACTTTAACCTGAAGCTTCCAGGTGGATAATTTGCTAGCAGCAGTATTGCCGAGTTGAACCTCGGCGACCGAAATTCTAGGTTCAGAATTGGACTGGTTCAGCAAAGTCCTAACAAATCGTTAGGGCGAGGTCTTCCCTAGACATTGTCTTTAAGAGTCCTCAAGGCGTGGATGGTCCACCGACCTGCCCGATAACTTAATCGAGTGTAAATGGATCTGGGACCGTTTCTTCGGACTGTTGGATAGCTACACTCGATATAGCACCCAAGGTACTTGCTTTGGGAAGGTACACGAACGTGTCATGACGTCATATATTGTCCATAATAGACCTTGCATCAACCTTTGAAAATCCTAACTGACCATTAAATTCGTATTTTTTATAGATTGACAAACTTTTTTTTTTCAATTTAATCCAATCAACTACCCTAAAATTAAATAAAAAGCGTTCCGTCATAAGAATTTGAACCGTTTCTAATAACAAAATACAGTTGCAATATAAGAGTTACCACAATCAAGGGTATATTATATGTATGTATAATAAATAACAGGAAATGTTAGAAAACTAATTTGGACAAACAGCAAATGAGATTAGTAAAGTGTGAGTGTCCTTGTGTATAATCTACAATATTTTTGTCACGTGTTAATACTAATATATACTACATATTATTTTAGCATTTTATAAATTAATAGATTTTTTTTATATATTTGTTGGGTAGTAAAAAAAATCCGTTTTCGATAATTTTATGAGGTTTAAACCTATGCAAATATAATTCGCGTGACTTTTCTTATAATGTAACTTTATTAGCGTAATTAAAAGTTTTTTGGACGACATTCCAATATATAAATATATTCAGCCATTTTCGTGATAACACTTATGTTTTTCACTAACACGAATTTTACAATCATTAAACGTATAAACCAATCCACCAGTTATCTTCTTCTATATATATAAAAATGGATTGCTGTTCCTTAGTCTCGCTAAAACTCGAGAACAGCTGAACCGATTTGGCTAATTTTAGTCTTGAAATACTCCTGGAAGTCCAGGAAAGGTTTAAAAGGTGAGAAAAATTTGAATAATTGCCGGGAAAACCCTAAAAACAGCCCTTTTCTATTTCCCATACAAACGTTTTTTTTTGACATTAGATTTGACAACTAACTAATATGTCAATCATTCTGTTTGATTGAAACAGGAAAAACCTGATTATTTATGGCCTCTAAGACGGAATAGAGTTCGCCTGGTCAGTTATACATATGTATATTATTCTTGACCAAACTAACGCGGACGAAGTCGCGGGAAAAAACTAGTTATAGTATAGTATATTAAAATTTATATAAAAAAGTGACCGTCAAAAATATTATTTTCTATAATAAGTATGATAATAAAATCTGTCATACTGGCATTAACATGGCTATGCCAACAATGACATATCAGTTACAACACGCGGAAGCGCTACAAGTGTGAAGTGTGTAATGTCACGTGTCAATATATGTATGTCTGTGACAGGCGGACCTGGGAGGTCTTGTACTATGACTTATACGACTTGTTGCTAATGAGATATAGATTTATGATTTCTATAATTAAATACAAGCAATATAAGTTTGACAGCCTGTGATCTTACGATTTAGATTCGCTTGTACATGTTTATTGTATATCAATGAAAATAGTAAAATGGAATAGTAAATAACTAAATAGTAACAAGAAATGTTATTTATATATATATATAAATGAATTTCTGTTCGTTATTCTCACTAAAACTCGAGAACCGCTGAACGGATTTATCTTATCTTAGTCTTGAAATGTTCGTGGAGGTTCAGGGAAGGTTGAAAAGCTGAAAAAAATTGATTCATTACTGGGAAAACCATAAAAACAGCCCTTTTCTATTTCCCATACAAACGTTTTTTTTGACATTAGATTTGACAACTAACTAATATGTCAATCATTCTGTCGCCTTTCAGAACACAGAGATTTATTGCTTAAAGGTGAACTCCAAAAAAAAAAATATTTATTTATCAATTGAGGCGGTACGAAATATATTTATTGGTACTAATGCATAAAGGCAGTTCTCTCAAGTCGTATATTAAAATAGGCATAACTTTTAAGCTATGGAAGAATTTCGGATCCTAATAAATATGTATTTACTCTATTATAGAATTTACTATCCTAATGACTAATAAGAATATCTAAAATGTGGAAGAGGGGTAGATTCCCAAACAAATACATACGTCTCACCTATCCGGAAGGTAGTCGAATTTTTATTTTAAATTTTGCAATATAATATCGCTTAGAAAGTTCTAGAAACATAATTTCGTTCAATTCTCGGGCTGCTTAAAAGCATGATGGGCTTTTTGGCTTAAATCTACCAGGAGTTAATTCTCGAGTCGGAAATTTGTACCCTATATGCATAAAGTTTCAGTTTACCTTTTAATCATTTTAATACAAGTCAGAATGCGTCGCATCGCGTGACCCGCCGACATACCGCTGCGCCTGTGTAGTATTTCATTTATGAGGGTAGTCGTTTAATTTACGTTTTTTTCATCAAACGGAGGTTAGTTCTTGCATTCAGGACGCTCCACATGTGGAACGAGTACACAACCTTGTTTATTTCTGAAAATAAAATTGTTTGATAATGTACCGTGGAAACACGCCATGGAATACTTAAATAGCTTTAATTTTATGTTTAATTTAAGAGGCTTATGTTATAAAAAATGGTTTAAATCACTGTTAAATTAATTGTTTTTTTTTTTTGGAAAAGCGAATTGGATGAGATCGCTATCGTAAAGTATCATCCATTTGTTATATTTTACGTGAAACTAAGTTTACAGCAGTTTTCACTACAGACTGCTCATAAAACACCATAATAATTATCGCCAAATAACTCTATTATATATTTTAAAAATTTAAATGAAGACATTTAAACTGCCTTAAAATTGATTCACCAATGTAGCTTGAGCGATGCCAATCACCACACGCCTGAGGAGTTTATCGTGTTAGAACATGCGAAGTAAGAGACAAATCCATAAAACAATGCTTATAGAATACTATGTTGTATTCAGTTACCAGAAACTTCTATGTTTAACGAACTCAAAGATATATCTAAAATGTTTAAATTAGTATTATAACGCGTATAATCACATTAACTATGTATAAGTGTTGCTATAGAAACTAGAAGTGTTTATTTCATTTAAATTTTTACTATCATAAAATGATTGCACCAAAAGTCGACTTCCTCATTGTCGATAATTTATAATTTTAACACTTAACTCTTATTCTTTTCTTGGACCAAAAGTTGAGAGAAAATTCTATAGGCCCTAAGTCAAAATGTCATAACAAAAAATATGACCGTGGGTAGTTTCAGAGTAAAAAGATCAATCAAATAGCGTTCATTATATGTTATAAAGCAGTGGTTGGTAATGCTAATGACTTCAACCACATCTGGATAAGACTGCAGTAAGGCTGCGGTCACACTGGCTGTAGCTGTATGCAAATTAATGTACTTCGGGCCTTAATTATAGTGCGACAATGAGAGAGGAAAAAATAAAAATAAGGAAAATAGGTAGGAAGTGTTGCTATAAATATAATAGTTAGTTTTTTTAACCTTCCTCTACCCGCATGTAACCTTCGATTAAGGAAACACGTTCCTTTTGACACGTGGGTATGAAAATTTTAGTGTATTTTTCTCATTAATAAAGATATCCCTAAGTTTTTTCACAAAAAACTTATTGTAACACATTTTAATTAACAACTGATATAAAATTAGTTCTTTTGCTACTTGGTTTTAAACAACTCTACTGCGGACATTAATCATTAGGTATTACTAGCTTTTTCATTATAATTTTGCCAACTATTTATTAATCAGAATTTGTTAGAGTGCAATCTAGAAATTATCAGAGCCATATATTAATAATAAATTTGACTTAACTATAAAAGGTATAATGAAAAGTTATAAGTTTTAATATATTGTTGATATGATAAAACTAGTTTTTGCACTCGAATTCCTCCGCATAATTATCGGATTTCAGACATTACAAATGTTATATTTGGATCCTAACTTTATTTCGTATACAATAAAACTGTTTTTTCTAGATCATAATTACAAAAATTCTGATAAGCAAACTACATTAGCGTAAAGTTTCATAAAAATTGATAAAGTAATTTTTATATGTAAGAAACAAATGTTAACATATCGTGACATAAAACTAAAACAATAAAAACTAATTTGTTTAATTAAAGATTCATTAAGAAGTAATATAGAAATTGATACTAATACAAAGTACTACTATATACTACTACTAAAATACTACTAGATGTCGTGTTAAATCGAAACTAGCCTTGAATATTATACTAGTCAGCAAAATTTACTTGACCTTTTAGTTGTAAAACATTACAAAAGTAGCCTATGTGTCTGACAGACCGACACATCGAAAAAGTTTTATGGAAAGAATTTTCTTACATTCCAAATTTTCTTATAATTTTCGGCTAATTCTATAAAACAAACTATTGGTACTATATAATTAATTTTCGTTTTAATAACAAACAAAGTATATTTCATATCTAAAGTGTGCAGTCCTAGATGATTGTTAAATCATATTCACCCTAGCCACCCTCGTTTCTCCACCCGTCACCCGTCACCCGTCATTCGTCACCCCTCACCCTTAGCACGTGTTACAGTCTTAATGTAGTTACGCTAACAGAAACACGTCTCAGTGAAACCAATACACACCTCACGACAAACAAATAATTGAAAATATAATTGCTCTCATTATAGTAGAAAATTCACTACAAACATAAATGTTGGCGTCGGTGATATCTTTCGTTTTTGTGATCTATCTCGTCGTGTTAATAGTTTTAGTGTTTCCTCTGTCGAAATATAAAAATCGACCGTTTTAATAGAATTATAATCAAAAAAAATTGGTTAAAATCTTTAAAATAGATGTTATATACGAATTTATTAGGTATCGTAAGTGGTTTATGAAACCCAAAAAAATTTCTCGACAAATTACTAGTGGTATTCAAGTATATAAGCATTGAGAAGTGTTTGTAAATCCCATAACAAAAACCCATCACGATTCTTCGTTACGAGCAACGATGTCTTCCGTTGGACGCGGCGGACATGGTGTTGAAGGTGAAGGTCAGACTCAAATACTCGCACAACCACATCGTGTGGCTCTTCAAGCGAGTAAGTCATGGAAGTCTTTGTGAATATAGTCTTAATTTACGGACACTTATATGTATTGTGTTGTTATATAAATATTATCTAGTTACGAATAGGTATGTATCTTTTGAACAGATTTTTGTTTTGTTAATGGACCAAATAATTAATGGTAATCCTTTTTAGAGGGTGACTTATATTAGTTTTATTGCCTGGTGTGTTAAACGAGGCTTAGGTATTGCTTATATAAATTGAATTATGTTATAAATGAAACATATTTAGTAGTGTTAAATTGGGCATGTTATAAGAACATATAAGTTATGTTAGTTATATAAAATAAATCTCATAACAAGATCATAGACTGTACAACATATTAACACGTCGCCTTACACACGTTTGTTGTGAACATATTTACTTTTTAACAAAACATGCGTATGAAAACAAGAAAAATACTAATTGCTTTAACTGCTAATTGTCGTCAAGATTATAACAAATCAATATAAGGAGTTCAGTTATAGATAATGTACTACAGAAATAACTGTTTTTTTTACAATTACTTGAAGTAATATTCATTTTGGTGAGAGATTTATGGAACTTATCGTAATTTCCAGCCTACTCCCATATAAACATGCTAGATTCCGACTAGTGTGTTTATATGTTTGTTCCATTATAACCATTGCTTGCCACCCAGGGCCGCGGGCTGACCGGTCTCAAGAACTTGGGCAACACTTGCTACATGAACTCCATCATCCAGTGTCTCAATAATACGGCCATCCTTGTCACTTACTTCTGTAATGGACAGTATCTCGAACACGTCAACAGGTAACGAATAATATACATAGAACTCATGATAATAATGATATGGAAAATGTAATTAAACTAAATTGTCTTTTTTTCTCTTTAACATGTTTTTTGGTGGTGAATATGCCTTTAAGGCAAAGGAAGGGTTTTCTAAAATATCTTAAAAAATATTAATGGAATAGAAAATTTACGAAAGAAAAAATTGAGTACAAAAGCACACATTTTTAGTCTTTCGCATAGATGGGAATTTTTTTTATGATGGTCACAAATATTACAGTGATGGTACACAAAATATTATATTCTGTCAATTAGGAATATATAATATAGACCTTTTTTTGAGAGTAAATCTACTTGTTCATACCCCTAATTATTAACATAAAACATTATGAAGTCCTACAATATATGATTATTTTAGGTCTCACAGCACCAGAGGCGCGATCGCTGAAGAGTTAGCGGCAGTAGTACGGGCGTTGTGGTCGGGACAATACAGGTTTATAGCGGCTAAGGATTTGAGGGTGAGTGGGAGATTTATAGTCGACCTTATATTGTTAATGTTATTACAGTAGGACCTCGTTTATCCGGACTAATTGTTGTCGGTAGGCATCCGGATAATTGAAAGTCCGGATAATCCAATATATGAAGAAAAACGGGCTTTTTGCAAATGTACATATGTAGTCTGTACCATACATATGTAATGTTAGGTGTTTATTTAAAACAACAAATACATATGAGCGAAAATCAACGTTTATTAAGAAATTGTACATAATGTACGTATAAGTGTTATAAGTAGGGCCCGGATTAATACGTAAATACATATTTTTAATTTATGCGATTTTCGGTCTAGAATGTGTTTTTTACATGGATTGTCATGTTTAGACTGTGAAAAACCAACTTTTATTTTCCATATTTTACCATATTTCAAAGTTAAGTCCATATTTTACAAGAAAATGTCACAATCATCCATATATTCACAAAAAAACATAAAAAAATAAAGGATTTAAAAAGCTAAAAAATTAACAAAATTCTGTGCGAAAGTTTCGAGGGCTGTAGACATGGCTTACACAATTACTGAATTAAGTATGCATCCATCACGCCATGTGAGTGGAGAGATCATACAGCAAATATAAGGCTATATGTCGACCAAATGGTCAGTTTTCATTTTGATAATTTAAAGAAGGACGTCATTGTGTATTGCAACCAATTTGATAAAGCTAGTGTAATGGAAGTTGAATAAAACTGTTATTTTTTTGTTGAAATAAATATTTCACTTCTTTTTTTCATCGTTTTTTAAATGTTTCTTAACGATGTAGGTCACGAGTGACCCTTTCTTATAGTAAAACAATGTTTAATTATGAATTTATTTAATTTTATACTCCATATTTTTTGATTTTTTCGTCCATATTTTATGAACATATTTTAGATTTTTTAATACATATTTATCCGGGCCCTAGTTATAAGTGGCGTGGCGTTATGCAAGTTCTGACATGTTAATGTTAGAATAAACTCGTCGCGATTTGCAGTCCGGATAATCGCGAATTCGGATAACCGAGGTCCGGATAATCGGGGTCCTACTGTACTATGAAATACAAATAACTTGAATGTTTTGTAGACCTACTTAGAAAAAAAAAAGACGAACCGTTTTAGATAAGATATGGAATATACTAGTTTCTTCTCGCGACTTCGTCCGTTAGGACTTCGAAATTGGCTTCAGAGAGAAATTAAAAATGTATACTTAAATTATATAGATTGTAATAAATAAGCTAGAGACGTTATGTATATATAATTATGTAGGTATATGATAGTTGAAATGTGACTCCATACAAAATATGACTTTTAAACTATATTCTTTAACTATATAGATTTTTATTATTAATTAAAATCTATACCTGATCCCCTTGTCTAAGCTACATCACTGGAAAGTTTCATGAAAATCAGTTCAATACTACCACTAGAAAGAGCATAATATATCACTTTCGGACATTCTCATTGACTCTCGTTTTCGCAATATTTGGATAAAAATTATAAACTGGCTTAGCAATTCTTGACCGAAGCAATGGCCGCAACAACTTTCAAGTAGAATATAAAACGTATCAAGTAATAGTAAGCTATCTTCGTCCTCATTAACATTCGTGCCCACCATTCCATTCCAGAGCGAGGTGGGTAAACACCAGCGTTCTTTCCGCGGCAACGAACAGCAGGACTCACACGAATTCCTCACCATCTTGATGGACTGGCTTCACCTCGACCTACAATTCACCATCAAACCACCACACAAGGTACGAAAACTTAGTGAAATTCCTTTAAAGAATGATACCTAATACTTTCGCGTGTTTTAATCATTTAAATGAAACTAATATTTTTTGAATATAATACGCGGCTTTCACATCTCGTCTGAGGTAATCACGGTTGCTGAAAAGTAGCCGAAACGCAGGCATGTAGTTTTTGATAAAAATAAACTGCGTAGTATATCCGAAAAATATTAGTTTCATTCCTTTAAAGAAGTTTATATTACTCATTTCGTAGATTAATAGGAACAGATAGATACAAAATTGGAAGAAAAGTCAGTTTAGCAATAAATTACTTTAATAATAATATATCTTTATAAAAATTTGCGTCATCCTCAGCAACATGAGTATGGATGGAATTTTTTGTCATTCCTGATGGGTACATAACTTCAACTTTAAACTTTCTTATATAAATTAAATTATTATTTCCCTATATAAAATTTGACGTTTTCATCGATTTATTTGACTGATTTTATATTGTTCTTTCACTCAGGAGACCCTGGGGGCGTCTGAGCGCGCCTGGCACGAATACACCAAGTCTAAAGAGAGTCTCGTGCTACGTCTGTTCTACGGTCAGATACGTTCCACGGTCCGGTGTACAGTGTGCCGCGCAAGTTCACCCACATACGACTCCTTCTCCAATCTATCGCTGGAACTGCCGCCGGCCGCTGCTCGGTGTACGCTCGCGGTGAGATGAAATACACAACAATAAACACTACATATGATTTCATATAAAAATATTTTATGATTAAATTCATAGACTTGACATATTACCACAAGCCTGCCGTCAAACTGTTCGCAGAGGTTTTACAGTTATTCATAACTGTACCTCTAATTTATGTAACACTTTAAACTCTCCATATGTAGTCTCACAATACAAAAATTTGGTTTCCGTACTATAGTGCAAAATAAACTTTTAGAAGTCAGTGGTGGCCTAATGGTTAAAGGGCCCGACTCTCGTTGCCGAGTGTGCGGGTTCGATCCTGGCCCGGGCAAGTACCAATGTGATTTTTCCGAGTCATATGTACTTTCTAAGATTATTTAGACATCACTGATTAATGCATTCCCAAAAGAGGGTTGATGTCTGGCAGGCCGCCAGTCGTAAAAACAATCAGCCAAAACTATTCACAACATGTAAGGCAGACCCTGGCTATAGCTGGGAAATTGCCAGGTAGAAGAAAAAGTGCAAAATACACTTAAATTATCCCACAGACTAATCCATAAATATATCAATACATGAAATCGTAAAGAAATTCCTTATATAAGTTTTATCTTTAAATCTATTATTCTATATGTTCCAGGATTGTCTGAAGCTTTACTTAAACGGTGAGACGATACCAGGATGGAACTGTCCCAACTGTAAGGAGAAGAGAGACGCCGTCAAGAAACTCGACATCTCACGCCTCCCGCCCGTATTGGTTATACACTTCAAAAGGTTCTACGTGGACCCTAAAGAATATATGTGCAATGCGTACCGGAAGAAACAGACATACATAGATTTCCCCCTAGAAGACCTTGACATGAGGCAGTTCTCACTCCACTGTCCCGGGAACCCGATATATAACTTGTACGCTGTGTCCAATCACTACGGAACCATGGAGGGCGGGCACTATACGGCATACTGTAAAAGTAGCGTTTATGGCAAGTGAGTATATTGAATAATGTTTATAAAACTGTCGATTTTGGTCATCAAGACCAAATGACAGGCATTCACATCTCGTTTGCCCGTCATCAATAACAATGGCATTTTTGATTAATAACCTGAAATGTTAATCCTAAGTTTAACCTTGAAGATAATTACAAATACATTATAATACATAAAGATACATAAATATAAATTAATCAATAAGCCTATATGTGAATGGGTATGGTTTGTTAATTGATATAGTTTAAATGAAACTAATATTTTTCGGGTATACTCCGAGAGCATTTCGTCTGTCCGTGATCACGGTTGCTTAAAAGTAACCGAAACGTCGGGAGTATGTAGTTTTTTATCAAAAACAATGTCGCATAGTACATCCGACAAATATTAGTATAATTTTAATGAATATCACTCGCGAAAATCTTAGATCTCATTAATCCAATTATACATATCATATAAGATTTCTTCACTACCAGTTTCCAAAGTTATCCATATATTTCCATTACCATCTCATTATTTCTTTTTTTTCTTCAGATGGTACAAATTCGACGACCACCTCGTGTCGGAAATGTCTTCAGGCGAGGTCCGTTCCTCAGCAGCCTACATCCTGTTCTATTCAGCGTGCAAGCCTTCCTGAGAGTGAGGGGTCAATCAAGACTGGCGATGCTGACCTACTGACCCTACTTTACATACAGTAGAGACTTAGACACGCTAAGCTCTAACTAACTAGAAGCGGTTATTCACCAGTCTTTTATACTGAACACATATTTATACAATATTCAAATTTTTTTTACTACAATTATTTACTATAATGTATTCAAAAAATACACTCAGAGACTTGAGTTAATATAACTTTTGTAATTAAATAAAAGGAAAGTATGTAGTTCGATATTCCATATCTAGTATAAAACATTTGAATCAGTATTTTTGTTTGTCAAATTTACAAAATAAATTTAATTATTGTTTAAATTTAAATTCTTGTCTAGCATTTAATTTGATTTGATCGGTTAACTAACATGTTGTGATTTGATGTAACTTACTCTTAAGTTAATTGTGACCGCCTCTAATGTTATATGGATATATAAATATTTAGTTGCTGTGAGAAAATTACGACTGTGAGTGGAAACAACGTGACTATATGTAATATAGTAAGATAATATACTATGTAGCCGACGTTAAAATAAGAATGTCAAATTACCATCGAACATATATATTATAAATCTACATAATTTATTTTTACATCTCAGTTTAGTCACTATAGTAGTTATAAGAAATTTCAACAAGAGTCTGAAATTAAATTGCTATAAAATTTCTTCTGAAAAATTCCAATCGCTACTTGAACATACCTAGAATGTTTTCATCGACTCCACCAGTGAAGGAAATGATTGTATGAACTAATTAGTCTTCCTGGTATATACATATATATAAATAATATATATAATGTACAAAGCTACATGTAACAACATAATTTATTTAATTAGTTGTAAAGTTATGTGCGAACGTTGAAATGAAAGACTGAATAGAGTGGTAGAGTTAGATCACTTATGTTTCAAATTCAACAAGTATCTCAAATAAAACATAATTTTAACTTCATATTAATGTTTAACGAATATCTTGTGCCTAAATTTATCCAGATGTCTCTGGTGCCATCATTATTATATTCATTACAATGGAGAGAAGATGATTTATTTTTGTTTATAAATATTGTTGTATGAGTAAATGTACATACACACTTAAAATGGATAATTACTGTGTAAATGTAAGACAAAATTTATTAAATTCTTTGTTATTACAAATTCTGTTTATTTATACAACTTTCCCTTTTAATTAACACTTAAAACACCCACAATATTCATTACTAGTCTGCTATTATATGTTTTCATATAAAGATGTTCCACCAAATAATATTCGGCACAGATTCTCTTGTAATCCATGCGAGGATCAAATATTTGTATTACAAAATTTTTGTCATATGGACCAAAATAAAAAATATTGTAACAAAACAGGTGCTGTTTGAGTAAGAGGTGAGTTGGCTGCGGGCGAGTTGTTATGTGGAGAGGAGAGGAGAGATTAGTTAAAGAGCGTTCTTGGATGTAATTATTCATTGTTTTGTAGGAATTGGAAATAAACAAGTGATTGACCAAGAAGTCGTACCTACTGTTGTAATTAATTTCTTTAAAATTTTGTTTTATGATTAACGATTAAAGTTATTACTTTTTAATGAAGTGAGATATTCCACAAAAAGAAATTATAAAAATGAAGAGATCCGGAGGGCATCAAGGATATTACGTACTATAAAAAAGAGAAGTAATGTTCAAGTAAGTGACAACTACTGTCTATCATTTAGAGGATTGAACAGTGGCGTGCACACAGATTTGAGGCAGAGTAAGCAGAAAATGATTGAAAAAAATACCAATTTTCATCCTTGTGAAGTTATGTTTAAGCATAGAGGTTTTCGGGATTGTCATAGCAGATTCTCTTAGAGTATATCGTAATGCTCCTGACTGTAGCGAGACTAGTAGCGAAGACGACGTGGTCACTAGAGATGATCTTATTGATTTACTAGCTTTTGCCGCGGCTTCGTCCGCGTGGAATAGTGACTTCCGACAGATTTTTGGTTTTTCGAACATAGTTCCCGTTCTTGCGGGGTTTTCGGAATGGTCGAGTTCCCGTAGAATTTTCAGGATAAAACCTATGTTTTTTTTATTAATAATGAAGTACTCTTAACCAACAACATATTTATTTGTTTATTTCAATAAAGATTAATATTATTATGTTGATACAACTTAAACAAATTATTTCGACAAAATTAGGTTCCATAAAAACGGTTTTTGTGAATTAATCTTAAAAGATAGACATATACTGTCGCAGACTGTTTTTTAGATCATTAAAAGAGCTATTATTCTTTCCTACATATTTTTTGTGTATCTTGAACCGTTTTCACGGCGCACGCAACGGAAGGCTTCAAAGATGAAATAATTTCTCCCGTTTTTTACACATTTACCACTATATCTTTGCTCCTATTGGTCGTAGCGTGATGTTATATAGCCTACAGCCTTCCTCGATAACTGGACTATCCAACACAAAAAGAATTATTCAATTCGAACCAGTAGTTTCGGAGATTAGCGCTTTCAAACAAACAAACAAACAAACTCTTCAGCTTTACAATATTAGTATAGATTAGAAAGCTAATTGAATGTTTGCGCCTATTGCGGTGCAATTGTTCCAGGTTGGCTGACTTTAACAAAAATAAAGAGGAGTTTTACTGACTAAGGGCTGAGTTGGCTGTTGACGAGGTGTGGAATGGTGCGGTGAGGAGAGATGTGACTATTTAAAGAGCATTTTTGGATGTAATTATTCATTATTTTGTGGGAATTAGAAAGAAACGATTTACCCATAAGTCATACTGCTTTATTATTTTTCTTTAAAAATGCAATTGTGTTTATAAAGTAATAATAATCAAATACAACTTGCATAGAAATAATTATAAACACTGGAGTTTGAAATAACAATTATAAAATAATCTATATCTTAATGGCCGGTTGTACCTCGGCCTACAACTATGACAGGTAATTATAATACTACAAGTGCAAACTGTCCTTCTAGTCGGTGGTTCACTTCTCTTCCTCCAGAGCCGTCTTCAGCTGCATGGCCAGCTTGTAGCCGAGCTCCGGGCGACGGTCGCGACCCTCCACCATCGACAACACCTGCGACAACACACACGTCGTTCATTAAGACGAGGAATACTTGTGGTATAGTGCGTTTGATTTAAGCTGAGCTTTGCATTTGTGTGAGTGTACACGGATAGTGTAGGTGTGATGGCAAATTTTTGAATGCCACGCTCTTTTCTAGTTTTAAACCGGTTTATTCTGCTTTTACCCCGCCCCGCATTTTCCGCACTTCACCCTTTATACTGGTAGCAAAATCAAATGTTGAAAATGCAATGTTAAGTGAATAAGAATTTGTATAATTTTTTCTAAATTTTTATTAATCAATAAATTTTTTTTCCATAATATTCATAATATTTCCATCTGGCCTTTTACAAGTTTTGCTTATTTTATAACACTTATGTTATTTATCTATTTAAAATATAATATAATTTAATTCTAAATGTTTTTTGTCTAACTCTACTTTTACTTTCACTCACACAAGCTCAGCTTAAGTCTAACGGGCTATACCAAATACCAATATGTTACCTTTGGAAACCACTGGATATGTATGAAAATATCTTATGGTATATTTAATATAATCATGTTTTTTTTTTATTTAATAAAAGTGTTTTGTGTCATTGTTAGAACATTTTACTTTGTGTCGGATTGAATACAACGCTTTGCAAATAGACAGCTTTTATTTTGTTTTTTTGGACCTGAGGGTCGTACCTGATGAGAGTCTACTACGACTCCGTTGTTGGAGACAATGTTTTCCTTGGTTCGCTCGATGTCACAGAGTTTGACGCCTCTCGACGCGTCGTTCACTAATATCGAGCGGTAGCCAAGGGCTAGAGCATCGGCTATTGTTGCACCTACACAGATATATTTTTATGAACTTAAAGACGTGACCTAAGTTGTATAAAAAATAAATGTTTATTCTTTGATAGTTATGAATATTACGAAAAACCCCTTCACTGTGGTTAAGGTTGTTTATTACTGGCAGATACTTTTCCTAATTAGGGATTATTAGGGATTTTTCCTTGAAGTCAAATACATCTTCCTGCAGGATCTTGGAATGAATGGGAGAGAATATATATCTATAGAATTGCGATCTGTTTGTTCATTAGTCTTATTGTGAAGGATTATGTGAAAGAAAAAACCTTGGGATCTCAATGATTCTTCATACACCAGTTGTTGTGATACTAACCAACACACACATCATAGGCCAGTCCACAGATGTAAATGTCAGTGACGTTCCTCTCCTTCAGTTCGGTTCTGAGAGTTGTCTCAGACAATTTATTGTTGTCAAAAAACGCCGAGTACGAATCCACCTCAGGGTTGGTGCCTTTGTATACCATTACAGCTCCTTCGACAACCTACAAAATAATTATCTAAATTCTATTCTTGTGACAACCCTTGTGGTTGTCAAAAGTCTTCTTAATATTTTTTATCAAATCACTTAGGAATATTTACTCTACTTAAATAAATTGGCAATTGTAATATTAATATAATTAAATCAGTTTGAAAGAATGTTCTCTGGCTCAAGGAGTTTTATTTGTTTCGATATTGTTCAAACCATAAACTTTTTTATTTAATTTAATAACTTTTTTTGTAATAGGTTTAGGGACGCTCTTAGTCCCGTTGCTTTTTTTAATTTTTCCTACCTTCAGATCCTTATATAACTCCGCGCCCCAAGTATCCTGGACACAATGTCGTGGCCACAGCCTCTGCTTCATCGGTGGATTTCCAGCGAACACCACGGTGTCGTAAGTCTGCGCTTTGTCTGCTGTCACCTATCATATAGAAGACGATTCATAACTCTTTTCTTTCCAAAGACCTTCAAGGTTCTTTAGATTTAAAACAGTCGATCTGGACCATCAATATGTTTAAAATGAATTTTGAATATAATTTAAATTACCGGTGGACATTTCATTAATATTAATAAAAAGAGATATTTAAACTTTAACAAGTCGTTTCTTCTTCTTCT